TTTATTCAAGAAACTGACAGTCTGCGTGGTAAATACAGTCTGTGTATGAAATATCAAAATGGTTTCTTTCTCGAAAAATGTTTTTTTTCCCCTTAGTTTTAGAATGTACTTTCCTTACCTTGCCTGCCCACGCCAATTTTGAACTTGGATTGCTCAGTGTCATCTGAGAGGATGCAGGATTATGGTCTCTCCTGATGTGGAACCCAAGTCCTGAAGTCACAGTGATTGGCATGATCTCTGGTCACGGCTCCCTCCACACTGCCTAGCCCAGTTCCCCGTGACACTGATGTCCCTGAAGCTGCCACAGCAAGACGGCCTCCCTGTCACAGCTCCCCTGAGAGATCTCCGTTGGCCAGGCCCTGTGGTTTAGCACATACCAGAAACATCTGCAAAAATATCTTGCCATTTGACACAGCAATAAAAGCCTGAGTTGCACAGATTAACCGGGATTTCTTTCAAGTGTTCACACACGTGCCTCTTTAACTCTGGGTGTGAAGCTTATTCTCCCAGCTGTCACCCAGTCACCCATCCAGCCTCAGCTGCAGGCACAGCAATGCGCCCCACATTGAAAAACTCTCTACATATAGGTTCTGGTTTCTCATGATCTCAGCCAAGAATCATTCACGTGAATCTCAGTTCCCTAAAGAGGTGGGAGACTCTACAAAGTTCTTTTTTCTTTTTTTGGCCGCGCGGCGTGGCGTGTTGGATCTTAATTCCCCAACCAGGGATCAAATCCGCGCTCCTTGCAGTGGAAGCTCAACGTTCTAATCACTGGACAGCCAGGGAAGTCCCTACAATGTTCGGAATGAGGCTACCAAGGTTGCTGCCGTGGAGCAGGGGCGGGGCGGGGCAGGCAGCCTCAGTGGAGGGTGTTTTCTGGATGTACAGGCCCACCCAGAGGGTAAGCACCACATGCAAGTTCACGCTAAAGGGAAGGTGTGCCCTAACCGCTGCATGTGCCCTTGGGGCCCACTATTACTACATCTTTTCCAGGGCCACGGAGATAAGGATTTCTTAGGCACTTTCTAGAACCACCTTAAATACCACCATCCAAATATCCTACATGTTAACATTTTCGAAGGAGGAGAGGAAACCATTTGCTCCTCTGCCTGGGAAAATGCTCTATTTATAGTGGGGGAAATTATGCTTTCCCTTTGAATTTTCTCTTATGCGTTAAGTATTTGTCCAAGACCTGTTCTCAGACATTATATTCAAACTACATTTCCACCCAAATAAGCTGGCCTCATGCCATCCTTTGTGGAGGTTGGTGGAGAACATGCTTTTTCAGAAAAATAAACCACACACACACACACACACACACACACTCCCCTAATGGAAGTTCTCTGCTCTTGAAAAAGGGGTTTTTAGTTATTTTAGTATAAGCTTTTTTCAACATGGTTTCTAAACATTCAGAGGCAAAGGCTGTAGCAAATAACTGACCCTAGAAATTACGTTTATTTCCTGTCCCTGTGGTCCAGATTGAAGGAGGAAACTGAGAACAGATGCAGGTGCTGAGGGCGGGAGCTGTGGCACCGCGGGCCTGGGGCAGCCCCTGGGTGATGTGGGCACGTGACTGTGTGTGCACATGTGCACCCAGGACGGGACACAGGTCCTCAGCACCCAATGCACAAGGCAACCACAAATCAGATTTATGCTGGTAACGACTCAAGTTTCCCTATTGACCCACCTGCTCCTTGCCAGGTTTTTGAGGAGGAGCTCATACCATTCCTACACAGCCCGACAGGAAGACATAAACAGAAGCATTCAGTATTTTAAGTTTCACAGTGGTTCGGGTCAAAATTTTTCCTCTCATGGACCTTCGGTCACGTCTATGCATTTTACATTCTCTCCCACAACTGTCCAACTCCAGCTTCAAGAAATAAGCAGTCAGCAAATTGCTAGAGAATACCTGAACTCGACACTGGCTGCTGCTCTATTTTAGGAAGGAAACCTAAAGGAAGGAATTCCTTGAATGGCAGGATGAGCTGAGTTTTAACAATGACTATAAATGTGGCTGTTCGTTTACATATTATGCAAGACAAGTCAACAGTATCACCAAGAACCTCCTAGTCCTTCAATCGGTATCACTTCCCCAGTGGTCACCACAACAGATTCTCTTGTGACACCTTACTCCTTACACTGAAACTTCAAAATCAGAAACCTGATGTTTCCAACCAGGAAGTTAAAAAGAGAAAAGAAGTTTACACATTTTAAGATACACGATTTTATTTACATAACTGAGATTATTTTCTTAGTCACCTTGATTACAAAAGCAAATTAACATGGTATGGTTTAATAACCTTTCATAAATAGATTTAACAAATTTTAATAACGGACAGATTGCTACTTAATACTCAGTAATGCTTAATAGTTAGTCATCTCTGCGTATATGCATATGAAAACTGTCTGATAGGGCTAATAAGTATGAGTACCTTCATAACTTAGGAATAGACAATTAGATTATGAATCAAGGGTTAATTCCCCATCACTGGGTCAGCCAGTTAGACCTGGAGTTCTCACCCTGCCGAGGACAACCTGCTGCACCCACTCACACTGAGTAGGCATTCTTAATAACTTGAGAAAGTTTATCCCCACTTCTGCACTTAACAAGATTATCATTAAGCACAGCTGAAACCCCAAAGTTTACCACAACTAGATATTTGTAAAAGAACGTATCACACAGCGTGTCTGAACAACGGCCCAAACTAAAGCCGCAATGCATCTGCAGTAAGTGTTTCTCCAGCGCTCTTCCTGGGTGTGTGCACTCACATGGGCATGCGCGCATGTGCGCGCGCGCACACGCGCACACACACACACACACACACACACACACACACACACACACACACACACACACACACGGCTCCTCCACATACTCATCCAAGCCTTCCTGGCCACAAAAATGCCATAATTTTACTGCTTTCGTGAAATGGTTATAAAATCCAGTATTTGAATGAGACGACATTAAGTCCTTTCACAGTGGTTTAAGTATGAAGCCCAGGCAGTGTTTTGGTAACTGACCCTCTCCTGCAAAGTGACAGCGCTGGGACAGAAAGAAGAGCTGCCGGGACTTCCTGAAAGCCACCCCGGCAGGATGGGAGGAGTGCTGAGTGTCTGTGACCACAAACAAGCAGTGAAGAATGACAAGAAGCTTACGAGTCATGGTCAGAACCTAAAAAACAAAAATGTCTTCCCATAGCAGCATTATGTTACAAACACAGGAAGAGTGGACACATGTACCTTTTCACACAAGCTCTATAAGAGCCAAAACACTGTCTTTTCCATCAGAATCGTAATCAGAGGTGTCACTGTCGATGCTACTTCTAACCTAACTAGCTGAACTGTCCCTTTGAAACTGGGCACAAGTTCCACCCCACTAATGTGTGAGATGAGCCTCTGCCACTTTTCAGCGCTGGACGGGGGGATGCTGAAGGCTGTGGGGTGCAGGGATTCACCGCAAGTCTCTGCGGTCAGCAGTCCTTGGACATGAGGCCACTCCACTCAACGGCCCCACTCCTCCACACACTTCTCGTCAGGGGGTTAGTGATTACTCAGCGATGGGAACAACTGTGTCCTGGGAGCCCTCTCCCCTCACACCACCTACCTACACAGCAAATGCGGCATCATGTCTCTCCACTGTGCTAAATCTAAGAATCATTTTAATCATGATAAAAATCAAATGTCTCCCTAAGAAAAGGTTCCATGATTTAAAAAAAAAAACATTCTCAGGATCTCGAAGGCTGAGCCGAGGCCTGTCCCGAGGTCCCCTCTCCCGCTCCAGCCCTGGCTGGGCTTTGACAACCCTACGAGGCCTGGCCGGGCTCTCATCCTGAACAAGGACAGGTCGTCTGGGCCAGTTTTTTTTTCCTGCTGCCTTTTTGGTGTGTGTGCTTCATGTTTAAATCGTGTGGCCTCGTTTGGCGGCAACCGGAAAAATCAAACAGTTCGGAGAGTGCGTGAGGGACCCACATGTGTGAGCACGGAGTATGCGGCGCTCACTGCTGAACCCAGACCAGCGCTGGGTGCTGCCGTGGACTGAAGAGGAAGGGACACCTACATGCTGGACTCAGAACACTGGTCCAGAGCGCTACGTCTGCTGGGAGGGAAAATCACCAGCCAGTGTGAAATGTGCAAGGAGGGGCCAGCAGACTTTCTGTTCTCGGTATGTTTCTTCCCCTGTGAGTCCATTACCTTTCACAAAGAACTGTTAACTATCAAACGTGTCCATTAATTGTGCCGCGGAGGGTGAAACCATCCAGTTAGCATATACACTATCATTTGCATATCTTGGACACCCAGTGTTGGTGCCATCGGCTCTCGTGAGTGGTACAGGACTCTCTTCAGGCCAGTTCGGGTCTGACATGCCTAAAAATGAAAACAGATCATTTGTTCTGCACTGAAGAACCCAAACTCCACGTGCAGACAGTAAGGCCTTGGCAAAACTCCCTTTGAGGTTCAAACCAAACTTCTGGTTTCTGGGCCAACTGCCTGCAGAGTTTCGTGCTCCAGGTTTCCAAAACATGGGTAACATCTGGGCGGAAACATCACGTGCTCTCTGGTAACTGCAGCTTACCAGAAACTACCAATTTGGACTTTTATAAGCTTCAGACTCTCAAATCTGATAAATACTTGTTGACCTGTTTAACTCTTTTTCTAAGGCAGCATAAGGCATCAGCACCTTGCTGTACTACATGGCTTACTGCAGCAGGAAACTTTCTATAAAAAGTTTTCTAACGTAAAGGAGCCTATTTGTCTTCCATCCCAGCCTACCACGGAGGAGAATCTTCCAAACCAAGGGTGCACGCAGGCGAGCCCCACAGCGTCGACAGGACAAATGGCAAGTAGCACTAGCCAGTAAGGAATCAGTGACCCAGGAGGCATGCAAAAGGAACAATCTCGGCAGAAAAATGCCTGAAACTCCCAAGATTTCAAAACAATCCATGATGAAGTTAGGAAACAGGAAAAAATTTCAAGTACTGAATCGAAGACAAAAGAAGGAGTTTTGGCAAGAACCATATTTACTGTCCATTGCAAGACCACAGCACCACAGACTACGTTCTTTCAAAAAGCATTTTGCTCCAGCTTTTTGCACTGACTTCATAAGTGACAACTGTCATGACAGTTTGTAACGCAAAGGATGTGAAAACAGCAGTCTGCGTGTGTCCTCCCATTCCCCTCCCCCCACCATTGTGGTCTCCAGCACCAGGTGGCCTCCAAGAGCTGCCTTCCACCCAGGCAGGGTCTGGGGGAGCGGCCACTGGCTGTGCTCTTAGTGCAGGCAGAGTGGTGCTGGCTCCTCCTTTCTAAATTAAATGCCTCCCCGGATCAGGTAAATTTATCCCAGTAGTTAAATTAGAAGTACTATGACTTGATACCCACCCAGGAAATGACTTAGTCATCATTTTCTCAATATCCCCTGAGAGTTCTGCCCTGCTCTCTTTCTTCTCTATCGTCCTAAGTTGCTGGGCAGTGTGGTAATTACACATATTTTCACATCCTTTTAAAAAAACATAATAGTAAAAATGCCTGAATGTAAACGGATGCAAAGTCAGACATTTACAAACAAAAAGGTTCAGAGCAGACTTTGGCTTCATTCAGACCAGAAACACTCTTAAAAAGCATTACAGAGAGTAAGGACAGTGCAGAGAGGAACAACGTGGCTAGAATCTAGTAAACGCATGTGAAATTCTACCATAGAGTTTGTTTTCAATCCACGTGGAGGGGAGGGTTCGAGGGAGGGGAGCGTTATTACAGTCCACCAGGGGCATCTCCTCCTCCGACAGGCCGTCGTCGTACAGCAGGGAATCAGATGGGGTGGACGCGGCCAGGTCCAAGTAGTCCTGGAAGGGAGAGAGGGCTGGTCACCCCGGCGCAGGCCACTACTGGACACGCCCGCCACTCCCTGCCCAAGAGCAGAAGCCCCGGTAGAGTCCCACCCCATGCCTACTGGCCTCTTGTGAGACCGGAGCCCCTCGCCAGGGTGCCAGCACTGAGCTCCTCCAGCCCCTGCCTCGCCTGGCCCTGCTCCATGGTCCTCATCGCTCCCCCTTCGAAAATCACCTCCTTGGGGGCACAAATGTGCTCCCTCACTGTCTTCGTTCTCTCTCTGCAGCACTGGGGCACCAGGCCCAGCACTGGAGAATCAGCCTGTTTACAAAACCCAAGGCTCTGAGAGAGCTCGCTGCAGTCCCATGACTCATTGCAGGAATGCCAAGAAGCACTCTCCGGCTTCCCTCCAAGCATCTCGAACATCATGTCAGGACTCAGAAATCTGAGGCACTGATGTGGGTTTTGCAGAGGACACTGCTATAGATAGGCTTCAGCTCCCAAGCATGACGATTCTTGAATACCTGCTATTTCCACTTCCCTGGTTAAACGTGTAAAGAATGGTTCCAGTGTTTTGCTGGCTGGTTCTCGGCACTGTTCTAGGAAGGCCATCTCTTGGCATCAGCTATCGCCTTTGTTTGGGACAACCCTGCACTCACAGGGTTCACCCAAACGGTACACCGATGCTCTGATGCCGAGTTTTATTACAAGTGGCCGAGTCCATGCATCTTGCTCTGAAGAAATAACTTTTAGTAAATGTGTCAATGGAAGGACAAAACCACGATGGCAAGGTCTGTGCCTGTTTTGTTTACTTGCGTGCCCAGCATCTAACACAGAACATGGGAGTCAGCGATTGCTTAATCAATGTTAGTGGAAACTTTGTTGACTTCCTCAGTCACCTGGAGTTGTAAATTTGGAGGCACACGGATATGACTGTTTGGCCCACACAGAGGTTTTGGAAATTTAAATGAGTTGCTATTAAAAACTGGGAAACAGGGCTTTCCTGGTGGCGCAGTGGTTGAGAGTCCGCCTGCCGATGCAGGGGACATGGGTTCGTGCCCCGGCCTGGGAAGATCCCACATGCCGCAGAGCGGCTGAGCCCGTGAGCCATGGCCACTGAGCCTGCGCGTCCGGAGCCTGTGCTCCTCAACGGGAGAGGCCACAACAGTGAGAGGCCCGCATACCGCAAACAAACAAAAAAACTGGGAAACAAAATAAATATCCCTTAAAATTCAGAAGACCCGGCATGCCGGCACTCATGTTCATACAGGTTACAAGTGTCCACAGTGAGGGGCCTTTCAGGGGCAGCTGGTGGGCTCCTGTCTGTCACAGTCTCTGCTGGTCTCTAGTCACTTCTCACCCCCAGCCGGGCCCCTGACAGCATATGAATTTAGGACACAGTCATTTCAACTCTACTTCCTCATGTTCTGTTATTGAAAACGATTCTGTTTGGCTTTGGAATATTTTCCTCCCACCCCTATCTGTGGAGGGCTCTTCCTAAGGGTCAAGGTAAAAATCTTGGTTTCTTCCTGATTTAAAAGAAGCCCAAAAGGCCTGGATTAAGGACAAGGGTTCAGTCGCTGGCTCCCCCTGGGGGCAGCACGACCAACTCCCTCCAGGCAGCCTCGCTCTGCGTTCTGCGCTGGGAACTCCACTGACCGGAGGGCGGGAGGCCCGCGGGAAGCTGGCACCAGGAATCGTCTCGGGGTACTCACTCTGCTCTTAACCATCATCTTATCCAGGTCTTTGCTGATGTCAGCGAACACTGGCCTCTTGTCTGGCTCCTCCTTCCAGCACTGCAGCATCAGACTGTACCTGATGGGACACACAGGTGGGCGGTGACGATCCAGCAAGGACTGCCCAGTCATAGCCACCAAACTCAGTACAGAGCCCTGGGCCCCGGGGGCTCTGTTCCTGAACCTCAAAGCTGTTTTTGTGTCACTGACATCCTTCTCTGAGGTGGGTCAGGGTTTGAAGGGTCAGCAGGGGCTCACAGCGTCTGGCGCCATGATGGCTAAGGCAGAAATGCTGGTCGTTAAAACTCTTATGAAGGACAAACCGGGTATGAACACAAACACCTGCCAATCACACTCTGACTTGTACCTTCCTCCCTCCCCTGGGGCCCTGGCCTGGTTGCAGGGCTTCCAGAGCTACTGTGTGGGTGTGCGCTGCGCCCCTGCCTGCCAGCCCAGGCCGTCCAGGGAGGTGGCACCTACTCACCCTTGCGCTCCCCCATCTAGCCTCGAGCCCAGCACGTGGCAGGCGCATGACAGACTTCATAGAATGAATGGACCAGTGTCTCTCTGCCTGCAGATGACCCCTTCTCATGTGTCCTCTGAGAATCGTCTGATGGAACCACCATCAGATGAGAAGATTCCGGTGCCCTAGGGCTAAAGTCCAGGCTTCCCCTGCCCACTCCTTGCCTGCCTTTGTGCCGCCACTTGTGTACTCCCCTATATGTGCCCTTGGGGCCATTCTGAATTACCCACCCCTCTCCAAGCATCCTGGGACAGGTCTCTGGCTTCTGGCTGAAGCTGATCCCTCGATCTGAAGCACCCTCTCATCCTTCCACCACCTTTCCCCAGGTTCTGCTCCCCCCTCTCACCCCTGTAAGTCCCTCCAGGAGGCCGACCCAGCCCCCAGTGGAGTCAAGGGTCCCCAGCATCTGCCGTCACACCCAAGGGCGGTTCTCTGACTTCTGCCCCGTCATGCCCTGCCTGTCACTACCCGCCACCGAGCTGGCCCTGGGCTGGCACCCAGGGCTGGCCAGGAGCGGGAAGGAATGAGTGCATGTGTCTCATCCCCAGCAAAGTCCAGTGTGTCTGTGTCTGAGGAAGGCTGGGCCGGAGCAAAGCCTGCTCACATCTCCTCGCTGCAGTTGTCTGGCCTCTCCATCCGGTAGCCTGTCTTCAGAAGGTTGAAGAGCCGCTCTGGAGGAATCCCAGGGTAGGGGTTGCCCCCCAGGGTCACAATCTCCCACAGCAGGACACCGAAGGACCACCTGCAGGGAACAAGAGGACCAGTGAGTGGTTGCACTGGGTCTGCAGTGCCCTCTGCGCACCAGACACTCATCCCCCCCAGCAGCGTCTGACCCCGAGTCCCCAGTACAGAGAGCCGCCCAAGTGCTCACAGCTTCAGCCTGTCCTGACCTAACAGATGGGGTGGGGAATAGAGGTGGGGATGAGCCATCTGCCTGCCCTGCCCCCACCCCTGCCAAGCCGCTGCCCAAGCTCAGCCCCCTCACCCGAAAGGGCACACGGCTGGCCCCTGAGGTGATGCTCTGAAGCATCAGAGATGGCACAGGGCAGCCAAGCAAGCACGTCAAAACGTAGGTGGGACCTAGGCCACAGGGCAGAGGGCTCCCTGCACAGTTCCTTCACCTTTTCTTGTGCTTGCAAATTTTAGTAAGATCTTAGAAGAAAAAAAAGCACTGCTATAGAAAACATACTTAACTGTGAGAGAAAATTTACTGTGAAGTGGGGACAAAATCATACCACGAAACAGTATTATTACACAAGCCCACAAAAAGCATATACCTGCACGCCACAGAAAACTCTAGGCCATGCCTGCGAGGGCCAGCAGTAGTTACTTAGGGGTGGTGGGATCCTAGTGGCTTTTAGTCTCTTCATTTTGCTTTCCCCTGCATTTCTTATTTCCTTACGGTCAACTTTGTGATCAGAACACAGTTGTTAAAACTGTCTAAGAACTGCCTTTTCACAGCCCACATTATTCAAAATATGCAAGCCTGTTCAGAGCAGAACACTTAGAAACAAGTCTGTTGTATTTTTGAAAACTATCAAAAATGTAATTGGGGGCTTTCCTGGTGGTGCAGTGGTTGAGAGTTCACCTGCCGATGCAGGGGACACGGGTTTGTGCACCGGTCCGGGAAGATCCCACATGCCGCGGAGCGGCTGGGCCCGTGAGCCATGGCCGCCGAGCCTGCGTGTCCTGAGCCTGTGCTCCGCAACAGGAGAGGACAAAACAGTAAGAGGCCCGGAAAAAAAAAAAAAAAAAAAAAAAAAAAAAAAAAAAAGTAATTGGACCTGGAAGACTGAGTTTTGGTCCCCAACTTGGAGTAGTTTGGGGCACCTGCCTAGAAACTCACTCAAGACCACCCCTGCCTATGGGCGGGGACCAGTCCCCAGGGACCTGCTTGAGCCCAGCCTGTGCTCAGGCCCACAGGAGGGGAACTGTTTGGCTAAGCCTGTGTGTCAGAGACACCCAGAGAGGAGAGGGGAGGGGAGAGGGAGGGAGGCAAGGGGGTCTGCAGCTATGGCTCACACCCTTACACTCCACCCTTACGCTCTGAAAGAAGCAGCTTTCCGAATTACTGCCTGGGCCCTCACCAACTGCTGAGTGAATACACAAAGCCCCGGCAGCTTGGAGGGTTTACTCTGGATGGTTGGCATGAGCTGACAGGCGCTCAGGGCCAGCACTGTTCCCCAGTGGAGGTGCTGAGACAGGCGGCATGGCCCTATACACATGTAACCTCCCCCGCTCCCGGGAAGGCAACACCCACTCACACGTCACTCTGGGTGGTGTAGATGTGATCGAAGAGGGACTCGATGGCCATCCACTTGACTGGGATCCGACCCTAAAGAGGGTGTGAAAGCAAGGCATTAATGTAGCTCTGACATCCTGGGAACTGGCGGCGGGTGGGGGGAAGGGGGGCCACGTCCCAGGCTCTTCCAGCTCTGAAGGGATGCTGAGTAATGACACCAGAGTGTTCCTGGGTACAGGACTGGCGCCTCGCAGGGGCCGGAGCCCCAGCCTGGCCCTCCCAGGCTTGGCTGAGACATCAGAGGGAGTCAGCTGGCCTGCCCACCCCTACGCAACGTGTGCCTGTCACGCACCACAGCCCTGTTGAGAAGAAACCCAAGAAGTTGATATTGAGCACAAGCCAGGTCCCCCTATGGCCGCTTCCCTGGCTGCTGCCACCCAGTGGGTGGGCCAGGAATACCATGCAGCGACGTCTCCCTTGATTTCTGAGGGTGAACGAGTTTGGGAAACTGACATCCAGCATTTTGCATCTTGGGGACTTCGGATGCAAACAAACACACTAAAGGCTCTTCTGAGAAGCTCTGAGGGAAGAAATCAGTGTGTGTGCCTTCGGGCTGGTTTTTATCTCTTATTTTATCCCAGGGCCCTTTCAGCATCCTCTGAAAGACTGCCCCCTACCACAGAGGTGCTAGGGTCAGACCTAACAAATCCTTTCTAATGCAACTCGAGAAATAGCTTTTCAGTATAAATAGGTCAGCCTTAAGGCAGAAATCAATTTTTGTTTTAAAAGGCATGCATTAGACTTCAATGCAACGTTTACTATAATTCTTTTTTAAAAAAGTATTCTTGGGCTTTCCTGGTGGTGCAGTGGTTAGGAATCCGTCTCCCAGTGCAGGGGACATTGAGCCTGGTCCGGGAAGATCCCACATGCCACAGTGCAATGAAGCCTGTACGCCACAACTACTGAGCCTGCTCTCTAGAGCCCGCGAGCCACAGCTACTGAGCCCACGCACCTAGAGCCCATGCTCCGCAAAAAGAGAAGCCACTGCAATGAGAAGCCCACGGGCTGCGATGAAGAGTAGTCCCCACTCGCCGCAAATAGAGAAAGGCCGCACACAGCAACGAAAACCCAGCGCAGCCAAAAATAAAAATTAAATAAATTTAAAAAAATTGTCTTTAGGATTTATATCCTTAATGAAGTGTGACTGTTTCGGGGGTGTGTGTTCCTAACAACGCTGCCTACAGCCTGTGCTCTTGGGGGACGTGCTTGGCCACATTGTGCTTCTTGCTTCATGACACGGGGCCTTCCTGAGGACCTATGTGTCAACAGGAAAGCTCTGTCCACCGCCCTCCACAGGGCAGGGAGCAGCCCCTCTCCACTTCCCCTTCAGCACTTCTGAGATGTGCTGTCACAATAGACACCCCAGAAGAAATTAAATATCACCCTCACGGCCCCTGGCAGCACCAGGTCTTCTCCTGACCCTCAGAGCAAAGCTGAGGTGTATGCCGTCACTTTTTGTGTTTTTCTTTTTGAGCAGCATATGTTCTGAATGCCAGGCTAGCCGTGTGTCTTGAAGGTACCCGTGAGCTGGCCCTGTCCAGTCTGTCACAGGGAGGCTGCAGGAGAGGGGCTGAGAGGGCAACAGAACTAGAGGGTCAAGACCAATGCTACAGAGAACTGGACCGCGCCAGGGAACCAGATTTCCCGAGAAGGGGCCCTGACCACCTGTTTCAGTGACTCGGAAAAAGCTTCTGAAATCCCTACATTGCGACTCCAGACCCTGTCTCCAGGGCCTCCTGGCGCATCTTCCAAACTCTCTTAGGCAGGGGTTCCCAGGCCCTCGTCCCAGGAGAATCCCCACCTGTAAAGCGATTCATTCCCTTCTGCAAGGAATGAATAGCAAGCTTGGCTTTATTTCATTTCTCTCCTCTAAGCAAAGGACTAAAGGAAACAGTGACCTTCGCCCTGTAGAATCAAGAGGAACAACTGCAGAGAAGAAGGTTGCTCTTTCTGCAGTGTTAGGCGACCTTCAAAAAGGATAGTGATCAAAAGTGAGAGAAGCTGCAGGGTCCCCACTTCCCAGCGGGCAGCTCTGCAAGACCACGTGTGGCCCTGAGGAAGAGAAGAAACAGTCTTGGGGCTGAGTCCTGAGCTGGGTCTCTGGGGACCCAGGACTGGGGAAGGGTTTAGGGATGAGGGCTGGAAATTTATACTCTAAAAACCTGCTTTATCTTCTCCAGATAAAAATCTTGCCCCTGCCCTGTGGGTACCCTGACGGTTGCCCACACCCAGCCCGGGAGCCCCAGGACCCGGTACCTTGCTCCTCTTCACGTAGGAATCCTCTTCATAAACATCTCGGGACAGACCAAAATCCGAGATCTTCATCCTGCGCCCCTCAGCTACTAGGACGTTTCTGGCTGCCAAGTCCCGATGGACGAGCTGCAAGGGAGACAACGGCAGGGACCCCTGACACCCGGGCCCATGGCAGGCGGGGGGGAGGGCAGGGCTGGGACGGCACACACCTTCATCTCGGCCAGGTACTGCATCCCCCGCGAGATCTGCCAGGCGAAGGAGATGAGGTCGCCCATGGTCAGGGCCCGCTCCTCCGGGTTGTCCAGGTAGCTGGAGTTGCGGCTGTCTCTGCTGCCCACGTAGCCGGGCCCCGCCTTGCGGCTCTCTCGGAGGAAGCCCCGCAGGGAGCCGTACTTGGCGTACTCCACAATGAGGAGCAGCGGTCCTGGGGGCAGAGGGGGCTGTGGGCTGGCTGCCTGCAGTGCCCCGGGCAGGCGAAGTCAGGCCAGCTCTGGGCAACTGCTTCCCAGAGCACGGGCCAGGCCGCAGGGCCCCTGGACAGGCTCTGCACCTGGGCAGACAGACCCAGGCCTGCTCTGGGGGGCAAGTGCCTGCGTTCTGGCAGCCTGAGGACTTAAGCCCCAGCTCACTCTCACATCACTGGCTCTCCGCCTTGCGGGGGCCATGCCAAAGCCAGCTGCCTGGGTGGTCGAGCGTGACCTCTTCCCTGGGTGCCCCAGGCAGGCGGTCACTACATTCAGGACTGTCCTGGGAGGCACTCTCTGCTGCTAGAATGTCAGGCCTTTCTGCATCCTCGGTCCTGCCACAGCATGGCCTGGGGACGGCTGACAGAGGCAGGGTCTGGATCTGCCCGTGGCCACCTGCTCCCTGCTCCTGTCTGCTCTCAGCAGCTCTGGGCTGCAGTCCTGCCCGAGGCCCAGCCCTGAGTTCTGCTGGCTCTGACCAGTGTCCCTGCTGCCCTCTCCCTGTCAGCCCCGTCTCCCTCACCACGCCCCTCCACACGCGCGCGCGTGCGCGCGCAAACACACACACACCACACGCGCACACACACACACACAGTGGGAGGTCCCTTGGGTGACACAGCAGGTTTGGAAAACCAGCAGAGCAGGATGCTTTTATGTGAGAGATGGTGACAACGCCTTTGCCACGCAGGGCTGGGGTTGGGGGTCACCCGGAGCTTATGGCATGTCTGGTTCCCCGTGCCCAGGAGGCAGTGCTCGTTTCTGGAGCTCCCTGCCTTGGGGGCTCTGCCTGGAGCAGGGTGCTGACAACCAGGATGTCCCCAGAGACCTCATGGCAGCCTGGCAGGCCCAGGAAACACACTGCGGGGAGGGCCTCACACAAGCACTCCTGCTGCACCCCTTCCGGCCCTCTCACTGACACGCAAGCTCCAGGCAGGAGCCAGAGCCAGAGACCCTGCTTCCGGGAGGAGAGAGAACAGGCGCCCAAGGAGGAAAGGATGGGGAAGGGGAAGGAGGCAGAATGGAGTGGCCCAGAGCCCCCTGGCCTGAGCCTGGCGGCTGCTTGTCCCTAGCTGGCCTTACCGTCCTGGCTGCAGGCCCCGTATAGCTTGATGACTTGCGGGTGGCTGACCTGCGTCAGGAGGTTGAACTCTGACAGCAGGTCCCGCAGCTCGCTCGCTGAGGCGTTCTCTGAAATGCACGTAAACACAGCAGGTTGCAAAGCAGTCCCTTCTGTTAGCCCCTTCTGCAGCCCTGCTGGGTCACGGCACCCACAGCGGGGGGGGGGGGGCGGTCTGCACAGACCCATTATCCCCTTCAGAGACATCCTACCCAGGTTCAGACGAGGCCTGCAAGGGTCCCACTGCTTGGAGCTACTCTCAGCCCGTGGGAGGGTCAACAGCAGCCTCGTGTGCCTCCGGGGAGTAAGAACCCGAGAGGCACACTTCCACACGAGCGGATCTTTCCATGGAAAGCCTCCCAGGGCTGGGCTGTACGCACAAATGGCATTATTTCCCTGCAATCACCATCTCTCAAAGACAGTGGTGCACAGAGACCCCCTCGTTAACCCTTCTGGGAAGGTAAAGGGACTCCCTGTTGTCCCCAAACACCTGCTGACCAAGCGCTCAACAGTGGCGGGTGAGGCCCTGCAGAAAGGTGAAGACCGCCAGACATCACAGAAGCCCTCCAGCCACGCTGAGCACGCGTGTCCCAAGGGTGGACAGAGCATGCTCGGGCTCCCACCAGAAGCTTGGGTGTGGAGGTATTCTGAGACAAAAGCTGTGGCTACCCAGTTCTCCTGGGTCGGTGGCCCCACAGCCCAGTGCCCAGCTGTGTCACCTCCTCTGGGTGCAGACTTGTCTGGAGATGAGAAGACAGCTGGGAGATGGGGCACTGGGACTCTCTGGACCACATGTAGGTGACCCAGGGCCAGTCTCACTGTGCCCCTTAGGGCCTGGGATCTCATGGGCAAGGGGCGACCCCAGTCTGAGGGCCTGGGCAAGTATCCAGAAGCACTCTGCACTGCACAGCCCCCCGACTGCTGAACCCACGTGTGCAGCAGTCGACTGTGTCCACTGCACGGCCGCTGGGCCCTCAGTCGGTCCACCTGGGCCAGAGCCCGGCTGTGCCCAGTCTCTGCTGAGAAACTCCAGTGAGGATGCCTAGCTTGCGGCAAGCCTGGGGCAGGGCAGACCCGCTGAGGACCAGTGGGGATTGGGCAAGGCAGGGCCCTAGGGGGCAGGGACTGGTCCTTACAGGTGGTCTCTTCACCAGGACTCTGGTGGATGCTTGGCTGAGAGAAATGAATGCAGCAGACTGGGTTGGGGAGAGCTGTCAGTCCAAAACCCAAAGGGCTTTTAATTTAAACTCGGATCTTTACCCAACACTGGTACAGAAGTAGCACCACTCCAGAACCTTCCAAGGGAGGAACATCCTCACCCTGCTTCTCCAGGGACCACGCCAGCCCACATCATCCATGGTGGGGATCCCCAGACTGCAGCCACTCAGGAAGAGCAACGGGGGGGCCTCTTCTGGAGGCAGCAGGCCAGCTGCCAGAACCCTGGCTGTCGCGTGGCTTCACCCATCCCTTGGGGCGCCCGCAGGTGTGCGTGGCAGAACCATCATTGTGTACTGCCTGGACAGATACCTTTCAGCATCTTTACAGCCACAGTCGTGTACCCCGCTTTGCCTTTCAGCCGGAAGGCCGTTGCCTTGACCACTTTTCCAAATTCTCCTTCTCCCAGAGTTTTTCCAAGAACCAAGTTCTTCCGAGGGAATTCCCACTTTGGATCCTCCTAGGTTGGGTGTGAAGGAAGGGAGACAAGAAAAGAGGGAAGAAAGATGGTGAGAAAAGAAAGAAGGCAAGACCTGGTGGACAGCTTCAGTGTGCAGACAACTGACCGTCACCTGAACCAGCCCGTGATAGTCACCATGTACAAGGGCAGGACCCCACAGTCAGGCCCTGAGGTGCCGTGACATGATGTGTCTCCCGCACGGGAAGGCAGGTGTTGCCACAAACCAGCCTGGACTCCGTCATGTCCGTACCCTTGCTGGCCCCTGTCTACTGAAGATGCCCTGTGCCACCCAGGCCCATGTCCTTGTCTGTCCAATGAGGGATTCGGGGCTTACTCAGCACCCACAGGTGCTCACAGGGGAGCATGGCCTCTTCCCTGGGAGTCAGGCCCAAGCTGCTCAGCACTGCCTCCGCTTTGGACACCAGGCCACAAGGCACTGACTGGCCAGCAGCCCAGATCTTCAGGTGCCCTTTCCAGAGACCCCCCCCAGGACTCCCAAGAGAACCGAACTGGCACCAGTGGCCCAAGTTGCCTACCAGCCAGCCCAGGACCCCTGGCTACTGGTGGGAGTGTCAAGGACACCTTCCCTGTGTGGCAGCCCCTGGAAAGGTGCCACTATGTTCCTCGGGAACCTCCACCCCAACGCGTGGAAAAGGCTGCTCCTCCCATAGGCCCAGTCATTACCCTGAACCTGCACCCCCCCGCCTTCCCACCGAAGTCCCATCCACATACCATGCCCACTCAAGACCGCACCAGGGCAGCTTCCCAGACCCCCAGCCTGGCTCATGTACTTGAATTCTGGGGATGCTGAACCCAGTCTGGAACCTGCCTTCCTGTGCCAGCACTGGGCATCCCTTACCCCAAGCCTCGCTGCAATTGGGTGGCGAGTGGGTGTGGCTTCAGGTGCTGTTTACGCCGTGCCCTGCCAGGCTCACCTAACACACGGAGATGACACCACTGGGGACGCAATGCCCCCCAGTGAACAGAGCCTTGTGTTCTGACATCTGGGAGCAAGGCAGTCTCCTCTCAGCACCATGGCCAGGGGCGCCTTCCAGCCAGTTCCCGGGCGTCCTGGTATCTCGGGTTCCCCAAGAACCCATAGTCAGGGTCAGTGCTGACAACACGGTCACCACCGCCCTGGCGTCCACACTGCACTGGATAACAGTTTACTGCTCACAGACACTGCGCTAAGGTGGGTATCACTGATTTGATCCTCTTAAAAATGTCAAAAACCATTCCCCCCACTTTACATGAGACAAAACAAAGGCCAAAAGATTGCGTAGCACATCGAAGACCTCGGAGCTGGTCAGCGGGGCCCCAGGACCTTGGGCCCGGCTCTGAGTTGCTCTGGGCTCTGGGCTGGAGGCAACACGGGCCAAGGGTGGTTTTTGCGGAGGAGTTCCCCCTGCACATGTACCTACCAGCACCACTCTCACCGTGCGTCTCAGCCCCAAACCGCCAGGGCATTTAAAGGAATCAAACGGCTCGTCCCACACGCCTGCTGTGGAGGCTGAGATGCTGCTGGGGCTGGAGAACCCCACCTGTGGAGTGATGGGAACTAGGGAAGTCAGGAGGGAGGCCTCTGTGGCCACCACGTCGGGGAATAGCCCTCACGGCCCAGACCCTCACCGAGGGGCCAGCACCCCTTGGGTGGCACCTCCTATGAATCCTGGCTACCTCCTACCCTGGGCTGCAGAAGGTGGCCCCCGGGCGCCGAGCTTCCTGCACACGGCGCAACGCTCCCTACCCAGCCTTGTGGGGGGAACTTCTGTTCCCACGCACCCTCGGCTCTGGCCACCTCCCTCAGCCCCTCCCAGCACCCGGCTGCCAGCAACTTGGGCGCTCCCAGCAAGCATGCTGAAGGGCACGGCAGGCAGAGGAGTGGCCTGGCCAGGTCGGGGTGGTGCCTGATGCGCACACGCTGACCGCAGGCCCAGGCCCTGCCATGCAGGAGGGGCTCGGGAAGCCTGCTGGCTCTGGGTGGCACTCTTCATCGACCGGCCAGCCACAGGCCCTGGCCAGGCTCCCCCACAGGTGCCCTAGAGGCCCCTCAGTGCCTCCTCCCTCGGGGCCAGAGACAGACTCCCCTCTCTGCTGCTGCCACCCTGACCAAGCCCCCGCCTGCCAGCCTCTCTTGCCTGGATGGAGACAGTGCCTCATCACGGGGCTCCCACCCCACAGACTCCCAACAGAGCGGCCTGCGGAAATGAAGGCAGAACATGGGCCCCACCCCCAGGGGTCCCACCCTCTGAGGATAAAATCCACGGTCCTCCTCAGCGCCTCCCCCAAGCCTTCCTCCTCCCAGCGCTTGGGGCATCTGCAGGATAGCTCCCGGTCAGGTTCAGCACGGCCCACCCTCCCCGTATCCTAACGGCCCAGATCTCAGTCCATATAAATCAGCACCCATCATTCTCCACCCTGCTCCACGCTCTCCGCTGCTCCCTGGAAGGCCGCTCAGTGAAGACAGAGGGCTGCTGGAATGCTCAGGGTGTCCTCCCGGTGGGTGAGAATGCATTAGCCCCAGGTGACCCGTCCCCTCCTCCCCTCCCAGCTGCCCGAGACCAGAGGCCCGGCGCCACCTGCAGGCCCCCTCCCCCCGGGGGCGGCTGCCTCCCCAGCCCCGAGGCCACACGGGGAACCTCACCGGGATCTTGAAGGTGTCCACAGAGACCTGGTTCTCCACGGAGTCCAGCGAGGGCCGGCGGGCACTGGATGAGGAGTAGCTGACCGGAAAGGCCTGGGCAGGCCGGCGGAAGGTCATCTCAGCTGAGGCGATGGGCGGCTTGTGGGCGTTCTTGTGGTAGCGGTGGATGCAGAAGGTGGACAGCAGCACGGACACGATGAAGGAGAAGAGCACGGCTGCCGCGATCACTGTGCGGCAAAGCTCGTCACACAGAGGGTCTGCGGGCAGCGGGGGTGGGCCGTGAGAGATGACACCCCGGGAGGGGGACCCCGAATACCCTCAGGAGCTGGTACAGAGCAGCTCTCCAGCCCGCCACGCCCAGGATAGCCGGGAAGTGTCTGCTGTGACCAGCTTTGAGCATCCTGGAGAGCACTGCTGGTGTGAAGGTCTGAGAGTAATTGCCAGCCCTCCAACAGAAGCGGCCCACAGGAGGAACTGGTCTGTACGTTTTTGCTGTTGGAGACTGTTACCACCCTTTTCCAGAAGGAATGAGAGTTTATAAGCAGCCTGCCTAAGGTCATACAACGGACGTCATGCACACCTGCACCCGCCCACCCTAGAATGCTGCACTGAAGCCAGAGGCCCAGGGGCGCTGGTGGGGAGGTGCAGCTCTTCCCCTGTGTTCCTGATGTCTTTTGGATTTTCTTTATAGTCAGTATAAAGGAAGGAGGAAAGAAAACTGGCCCAGGACCTAGGGCTGTGCAATAACAACCCAAATACCAGAAAAGCATCCCTGGGCTCAGCACATCCGCATGTGCTCAGTGGGGCACCTGCTGTCCCAGAAGAAGCACCTAGAGGCTCTGGCTAGGAGGATGGGGACCCATTTGGCCAATGCCATGGGCCCAGCAAAGGCCCTGCACAGGGACAGTCCGAGCAGACACTGAGTTATCTGGTGAAAGAAATAATTTTCCAGCCCAACCCTTACCACAGAACTTTGGGCCAGGGAGTTCCCTGGTGATTCAGTGATTAGGGATCTGTGCTTTCACTGCCAAGGGCACGGGTTCTATAATCCCTGGCTGGAAATGGAAGCAACCTAAGTGTCCATTGACAGATGAATGGATAAAGACAATGTGGCACCTATATACCATGGAATAGTACTCAGCCATAAAAAGAAACGATATTGAGTTATTTGTAGTGAGGTGGACGGACCTAGAGTCTGTCATACAGAGTGAAGTTAAGTCAGAAAGAGAAAAACAAATACCGCATGCTAACACGTATATATGTAATCTAAAAAGCAAACAAAAAATGGTTCTGAAGAACCTAGGGGCAGGAGAGGAATAAAGACACAGACTTAGAGAATGGACTTGAGGACATGAGGAGGGGGAAGGGTAAGCTGGGAAGAAGTGAGAGAGTGGCATGGACATATAAACACTACCAAATGTAACACAGATAGCTAGTGGGAAGCAGCCGCATAGCACAGGGAGATCAGCTTGGTGCTTTGTGACCACCTAGAGGGGTGGGATAGGAAGGGTGGGAGGGAGACGCAAGAGGGAGGGGATATGGGAATACATGTATAGCTGATTCACCTTGTTATAAAGCAGAAATTAACGCACCATTGTAAAGCAATTGTACTCCAATAAAGATGTTAAAAAAAAAAAATTCCCTGGCTGGGGAACTAAGATCCTGCAAGCTGCATGGCACGCCAAAAGAACCCCCAAAACCCCACCAAACTTCAGGCCAGAAGGCAGTCTTAGAGGCCCTGACCCAGCTACCAGTCTGCATTGATGGGGGAACCAAGACCCTGAGGGAAGGAAAAAGGTCTCCTGGGTTTTTGTGCCTTCCTGCAATTTCCTCCCTCGCTCCTCGGGGCTCAGGGAGGTGTGGGGATCCCTGCCCGCGTGGCCCCAGCCAGCTCACCTTGGCTGTCTTCCGGCTCGCAGAAACACTTCTTCTCCTCTGGGAAGCAGTTGCAGATACCGAAGCCGGCTTTAATCCCCCGGCGCTCCCCAGGCTCGTGCCCACCAATGATGCTGCCGCCCCCTGATGATGGACACAACTCACTCAGCAGCCCACTCAGCCTCGGGGGGACCTGACCAGCCAGACCACCCAGACAGGAGCGTGAGAGGCCCCTCCCCACCTGATGTCAGCACTCTCAGGCCCAGGGAGCGCGGTGAGCTCAGAAGTCTGTGTCACCCAGGCAGGAGTCTCAGCACGACAGGCCCCCAAACCAGTCCCCCTGGCCACAGCGGGCGCGAGGAGGAACCCACAGGCTGCCCAGGGCCCTTGCTGAGGTCCACACATGGTTACTTTTCAGAAGCAGAGCACGGGCAGCAGGGGCAGCCTGGAGCCAGCGGAATGGGGGACAGGGCGCTGCACCCCCGTGAGTCGGCCAGGACAACACTGGAGAGGGTGGGTCAGGCCAGCAGGCACTAGTCTTGGGGGAGGAAAGCCCTTTGTTCAAATGAAATGTTAGAAAAAGGCTCAGCACAGGCAACCCAGGAAGTCGGCTGGCCTGGCTGAAGTGCAGGTGGGAGTCCGAGCCCCTTCAGCGTGCTACCTACACCCCCTTCCCAGGCTCTGCCCTGGCTCAGGTACACGCGCAGGCTCGGTGCTTACGGAGGCAGTCCTGGGGGCAGATGTTGGCGTCTCTACTTTCCACGGCATCACAGTGGCCGTCGGGGCAGGTCTTGATGCTGGGGGAGCAGGTGGAGAAGTTCCTGGTGATCCCTATGGCACACAGCAGGCAGTTACTACCACGAGGGAGCACCCATCCTGGTCAGACTGCCAGAGCCGGGAGGGCCGCACCCCAGGGCCTCCCAGGCCAAGCCTGCACCGCCCCCCGCAAGGAGAAGCAAACCGAGGCCTGAGCCGAGAAAAACCACACGTGGAGCCCATCCCTGGGGAGAGCTTGGGGGTCCGGGGTGTACAGGGCAGCCCAGGCAGTGAGGGCTGGGCAGTCCCAGGGCTGTGCCCGGGCTCACATCAAGGAGGCCAGAAGAGACCAGACAAGGCTGGGACCCTCTCAAGGCGGTACCATGAGTGGGACCCTCACACCGGTGGGCGAGGCTTGGAGCCAGCAGTGGGCTAAGCCCAAGGATGTGCAGGCCCCTCCTGCTTGAGGCCACGCTCCCTGGGCTGGGATCTCCCAGGTAGAGCTTCTCTGAAGATTATTTTGAATTTTTTTTAAGGTTTGTGTTTTTATGAACTAAAGCCAAGTATGAATGATGTGCACAGTGTAACCTACCTTATACTCATCCACCTTTTGGATCTTTGAAAAGGGTCTGTGAACTACGTGTCTAAAAGCAGTGGGTGAGGGCTTCCCTGGTGCCGTAGGGGTTAAGAATCCGCCTGCCAGTGCAGGGGACACGGGTTCGAGCCCTGGTCCGGGAAGATCCCACATGCCGTGGAGCAAGTAAGCCCGTGCGCCACAACTACTGAGTCTGCACTCTAGAGCCCACGAGCCACAACTACTGAGCCCATGTGCCACAACTACTGATGCTTGTGCGCCTAGAGCCCATGCTCTGCAACAAGAGAAGCCACCGCAGTGAGAAGCCCGCATACCACAACGAAGAGTAGCCCCTGCTAGCCACAACTAGAGAAAGCCCGCGCACAGCAACAAAGACCCAGTGCAGCCAAAAATAAATAAATAAAATAAAATAAATTTATAAGAAATAAAAAAAAATAAAAGCAGAGGGGGAATGGGGGAAGGTTAGGGGGAGGGATAGTTAGGGAGTTTGGGATTGACAGGTACACTCTGCTATATTTTAAATGGATAACCAACAAGGACCTACTGTAGAGCACAGGGAACTCTGCTCAATATTACATACAACCTAATCGGGAAAAGAATTTGGAAAAGAATAGATACGTGTATGTGTATAACTGACTCACTATGCTGTGCACCTGAAACTAACACAACGTTGTTAATCAACTATGCTCCAATATAAAATAAAAAGTTTTAAAAAAATAAAAGCATTGGGTGAATACGTTCACAACTGCACATGTAATTTATGTGTATGTGGGTGGAGAAATGGAGACACAGATGCCAATTCGCATCTAGTTTAGGGACAAATATATGCACAGAAATTTAGAATAAAATAAAAAGAAAACACGCACATCCCAACTTTGGCCCAGACCCTCCCAAGCCCAGAGCGAGTCCAGCCTCAGGCACCTGTGATCCCACGGTGATACACAGTCCCAGTGTCCTCATGCCACCCTGCACTAATGTCCACCCTCTCCTGGCATCAGGAGTCACAGCAGGGGACAAGGCGCTGGGGAAGAGACTCAGCGCGGACGGGGGTGGGGGGCATCGCAGAGGCTGGCAGGGCCCACACAGACGCCCTCTCCACTCAGCCGTCATCACCCTCCCGAACACCCGGCTCTGCACGGGGCCTACCTTTGCCGTCTCCCTGTCTCCACTCGCACCTGCCCGTCAGAGAGCCCAGGCCGCCGCATTCCTCACACTCGGGCCGCCTCTTGCTGACCGCGCAGGACAAGGGGCAGCCTGGCTCCTCTGCCACATCTGGGGGTGGCAGAAAGCAAGTCACAGGGGGCCAGCCTGGGCCCTGTGTCCAGCCGCCAGCACCCACGGGCGAGGGCAGCAGTGGCTTAGCTGTCCCCACGGGTTGAGCCCAGAGGGGAGGTAGTAACTAAGCACCGGGGCACAGGGCAGTGACGGGGCTGCTGAGGAAGGGGTGGTACCACAGTCACAAAGCGGGGACAGCTACTGGGCTGAGATAAGTATGGAGGGAGGGTGTGAGGTGGCCAGACTCGGCCAGTGACACACAGGACACCCAGTTAAACCTGACCTTCAGGTAACGGTGAACACCTGCTTTGTGTAAATACGTCCCTAATATCACGGTGACACGCTTGGAAGTTTGTCTTCTAAGAGACACTGCAAAAGTTGCACGAGACGTACTTACACCAGAAAAATTGCTTGTTGTTTGCCTGAAATTCACGTTTAACCAGAGTCCTCTATTGTATCTGGCAGCCCTAAAGCAGGTGCATAGGTAGGACGCATCGACAGAGGTGGTGGGCAGCAGTGCCCGTCCACAATGCCGTCACTCTGGGCTAAACCGTTTCACACCTTCCCCCTGTCATCCTTCCAGCTTGGCTGTGCAGCGTGCACCGTGTTCTCATCTTACAGGGAAGAAGGCTCAGGCTCAGGGAAGCCACCAGTTAGTGAGGGGGAGCGGGACCGGGGCCCTTCCGTGGGAGAAGCCCGACCCTCCCCACAGCCCTGGCACTCACATGTCCCCTCCAGTGTGACGAGCAGTGGGGCCTGGGCTTGCCGGCGGGTTGGTCGTTCGACGGCCACTACCGTGTACTGGAGTTGGGCACACTCGGGCCGCTGCAGGGCCTCCGTGTCGTTCACGAACAGGGTCCCCGTGGTGTCCTCGGCCGAGGTGACCACCCCCAGGGCGCTGCAGTTGGCGCTGGAGTGCTGCAGCTTGTACTGCACGTGGATGCCACTGAACTCCTGGCAGTTTTCCACACAGACTTTCCCAATCTAGGCATGGGACACAGGGAATCCTTAGCTGGGTGGCTGGACCACCTGTGAGGGTGGCTGGAGGGGCTCCCTGGCAGCCTGAGTCCCAGGACAGTTTCCTACTCAGCCCAGGACGGTAGCTCCCCATCCCCCCATCTCGCACACCCTCGGAACCTGCAGACCATCCGCCTGCCTGGTCCTGCCCTGCCCAGACCATGGGACCACCACCCATACCTGCCCCTCAGAGCCGGAGGTGAAGGAACACGGGGCACTGGTGTTGGTTTTGGGGGCTGGCCCTCCAGGGAGGTGCTGCTGGCCTGCCCAGCTCATCCCTCACTTGCTCACTCATTCAGGCACAAAGGCAGCCTGTATGGCTCCTACCTACACACCTCCCTCTCTTCTGGCCAGGACAATTTTGCTCTGGGAGCAAAGCAAATTTCCCACCTGGGGTGGTCCACGCCCGAGCCAGGTCACTCGCCTGGTTAGTCAGAACATGGCACCCGGGCCACGATTCATGCAGCGTGGTTGTCTGTCCCACATGGGACCCAGGGGGCCTTCCTGGGACTTGGGCTGGAACCCCTGGGAGAGAAGGGATGCTTCTCCCAGGGATGCTATGCTGGCAGCTGTGGCCTGGGGCCTGGAGCTGGTCAGTTGAACTCTCCTTTTTACCCCCTCAGCCACTTGAGTTACCGTAAGGGTTGCGGGTGGCTTGAGATCAGAAGCTCTGACTAGTCAAGGCTGAGGTTTGGGGGCCTGGTGGGGGGAGCGGGGATAGGGCCCTGCCTGCGGCCACACACCATGCCCTTGCTCAGCCCGACTCAGGCCCAGGGCAGAGCCAGGCTCCTCCAAGCCCACGCTCGACGCCACAATAAAACCACCTGCTGGACTCCAAGCACTTCCCTGTACAAACCGGGCTCACTTCCACTCTCTCCAGTGACCCTCAAAATTGCCCGAGGTCATCACCCTCAATTTACAATCATAAAAACTGGGGAGCCGGTGAGAGGCCACAGTGCGTCTGAGGCTGCACTGGGACTCGGGTCCCTGTGCCCTCCTGAGTCTGCCGGAGCACAGGCGACCCACCTCCAGCAATGCCTGCTCCAGCTCAGACCCCCAGACACCCCTCAGGCCCCTCTGCTTTGTCACCTCCCACCACCCTTGACCCCTGCCTCCAGGCAAGGCCCGAGGTCGGGTGGCAGGTTGGGGAGCCTGGATGTGTCCAAGGGTGGGGTTCTTCGTTTGCTGGCCCCGGCTGGCTGCCAGGAGGTAAGGGAACCAACCACAGAAACTGGCAAAACCACTGGAAAATAGGAGATGGCCCTAAACGGGATGTTCTAAAGAGGATGTGGCCACAGCTGCCCCACTAGGAGAACGCAGTACGTTAAGTCATATGCTTGCTGTAACCACAAGTGAACTTTAAAAAGCGCTTAAGAGACACATTCTCGGAAGAACTGCACCAAAATGTTACACACTGGCTAATATGAGAAGAAGAGATCACCCCTGTCTATCCCTTATCTCTTTGACGAATACTTATTACTTCTATTTTTTCCACTTCTAATCGTTATTTTCCAACGACAAATGCAAAATAAGCTCTAGTAAACAGACTTGCAGAAAAGTGGAAAGTAGAAGCGCTCCCTATCTCTCCCTGCAGAGGGCGCCACCGTTCATTGCTGCCTGCATTTGCACTCTTGCAAACTCCCAGCAATGAGGACTTCATTTTGAACCTAGGGAGCCACCTGAGACCAACACTTACGCAAACCAGTTTTTCACTTAATTCACCAGGAACGTCTTTCCAAGTCTGCATGCATAGATTTACCTGGCGCTGCTCTTTCATGAGTACAAAATGTTTTAAAGATGCCAAGAAAGGAGACAGAAAAGAAGAGGGGCCCACAAAACCTACGAGCCCTGCTCATGACTCTTCCATGGCCCCAGCCCTCCTGGCCCCGTGCCTGCAGCTCCCTGGGGCCACTCCGTGCACTACTTAGCTCAGGGAGGGGGTGTTACCCACCCCCCAGCCCTGCTTGAAACCTGCTCAATGGAGCATGCCACCCTGGGGGTCTCCTGCCCCTCCACACCCTTCCCCAGGCAGGCAGCAGGCTGGGAGCTCACCTGGGCGAAGCGGCGGGCCCGCCTGCTCGCGGCAAAGGAGTAGGTGCTGGGCAGGCGCAGGCTGACGGGTAGCACAGACACGTTGAAGTGGAGGAGGATGACGCCCTCCCCCGGGCCCTGGAAGTCCGAGTCGTTGACCAGCACGGCCAGCTGCACGGCCCGGCTCTCCGAGATGGGGAGGCTCCGGTTGAGAACCAGCCCTGAGGAGGGTGGGGGAGGGGGTGTGTCTGTGTGGACGGCACACGGTGATGATGGGCGGGGGCCCTGCGGGTTGGGACCACTGTCCCACGCCGCTGCATGCCTCCTCCCCAACTCACTCCCCCCACACACGTGGAAACAGGTACCTCCACCCACACAGACACAGATAACAGACCTGGCGGGAGGCATTAAGGTAGCACTACTATTTAAAAGTAGTGAGTCGCTGTGCTGAGCTGGGAGCCCAGAAGACCCTTCTCAGCTGGGAGGTAACCTTGGGGATGTGTGTGTGTGTGTGTGTGTGTGTGTGTGATGTGAGTGTGGGGTAGGCCACACAAGGTAAAGAACCGCCACCACCCAGGCCCTGGGAAGGCAGTGCTAGCCCCTGGGAACTCTCAACAGCAGCAGCCCCGTGGACCCTTGGATTCCACAGGCCTCCAGCACCCGGGAGCTTCCACGCTTCTGAGCACCTGCCGTGTGCCAAGGCTAAGGTTTTAGTTTAGTGGAGACAGAAAGGGGAGGGAAGGCTCTGGTGCACATGGCACCAGAGTGAGCATGCAGGGGCAAGGATGACGTTTTCCCTCACAGGACAGACGGCTTCAGAGGCCTGGTGGGGGAGGAGAGGATGAGAAACAAATAGGATCAGGCCAGCCAGAAAGGGGTAAAGGCACCAGTGATCCTGGGTTCCCCAGAGCAGACCCCCAAACAAGGACTCAAGTGCAAGTGCGGTATTTGAAAGGTGATGCTAGAAAACACGGGCAGGAGGGCAGGGGAGGGAGGCGGGGAAGCTTGAGGATGAGTATGCCTCTTCCGGCAGGTGAGCAATGCGGGAACCTGGAGCTCAGCCCTGAGGGTGGGCGCATTCCAGGAGCCAGACAGGACAATCATCGGGGAACCCTCCGACTCTAGGACACTGAGCTGCTATTGTATGGATACATCAACCCCTTGTGAGTAGAGAGTTGCTGGTGGGGGGAGGGGGCAATAATAACCCCTGGGCACTCGGGCACCTGGGAGGTGGCAAAGCAGGTGCCAGGAGCCAGAGGGAGGCTCGGCGACGACATACGTGTTACAGTGAGTCCTGGCGTGGCCAGCACGGGGAGGTGTTGTGGTGTCCTGCCAGGGTCGGCCTCAGGACAGTTCATGGAGCGGACAGCCTGCGAACACCCACCAAGGTGGCCCAGGCAAGCCCAGCAGAGACAAAGGCTGCGAGGAGGAGTGGAAGGGGCGGCTGCCTGGTGCTCAGAGGGCCAGGACAGGCGTCTGTGTGTGCAGGGTGCTGCCCCGTCCAAGGAGAGTGGGCCGTCGGTTCCCCAGGGGGCCCAGCCAGGCCGCATCTGGCCTCTCTTACTGTAGTCATGCACGGTTGCCCGCACAAAGCTGCCGTTGGCCTGGGCCAAGGTCTCGTTGGGCGAGTGCTCTACTCGGAAGGTCTGGAGGGCCCAGGCGTCCCCGGAGAGCAGCGTGCTTGTGTACCGTCTCAGGAGCTCCCCGGATGCTGGTACCACATCTGCATCGAAGACGCGTAGTGTGGCCACAACAGTGCCCTGCAGAGAACAGGGGGTGCCAGTTAGGGCCCTTAAAGCCAGAGACCGTGGGAAGGCACGTGCCCCACGAGTGGACCAGGTGTGTGCAGTCAGAGCTGGCTCTAGGGACAGACTGACCTGGGTTCAAGTTCCCTGGGGCCCCTAGTCAGCCTGCCCCAGTCACCCTTCCTGGGCCACTGCAGCTCACCTGCGCAGCAGGTGTGACAGGCATCTACAGATGCCCCATAAGGATGGATGAGAGCACATGCCCTGGTGCTCTGCTGAAGACCTCATCCAGGTCCCCATAGAGCAGAGCAAGCACTCCTACTCTTCCCTGAGGAAACCAGGCCCCACAAGGTGGAGGAGTTAGCTCAGTGCCATAGAGTGACAGACGGCAGACCTGGGATCCAAGCCCAGGTATCCACAAGAATGCTCTCCTCCAAGCATTTTTTTTTTTGCGGTACGCGGGCCTCTCACTGTTGTGGCCTCTCCCGTTGCGGAGCACAGGCTCTGGACGCGCAGGCTCAGCGGCCATGGCTCACGGGCCCAGCCACTCCGCGGCATGTGGGATCTTCCCAGAGCGGGGCACGAACCCATGTCCCCTGCATCGGCAGGCGGACTCTCAACCACTGCGCCACCAGGGAAGCCCTCCTCCAAGCATCTTAACGCTCTTCTCCAAGTCTCTTCTGTACACCAGGCTGGAAAGGGTCACGAGGAAGGTTCTGAGCAAAGTCACAGGGCATCTCTGCTCTCACTGCTAACCAGGCTCCCCAATGTCACCACCAGGGGGTCCTGCCAGGCTCATGAGACATTCCCCGTGTCATGTGCTTTCCTCTCCCCGGCTTATCCGCCAAACCTGCTCTTGGGGTGCCCAGAGAAGCAGGCAGTGACAACATACTACGTCCCCACCCTTCCATTGCTCCTGCTGGCCTGCCAGCTGCAGGACAGTCCGAGGCCCAGCAGGTGGCAGTCACGCTCCACCTGCGTGGACCAGAAAAGGGTGGGGCCTGGATGGGGCGCAGGGAGACCCCTGCCGATGTGAGCCCTGGGGCCCCCAGCCCACAGCGTCAGACACAGACTGGGCACTCAGGGCCCCCGGCCTCCCAAGGCAGTGGTCAGCTGGGTGCCGGTGGGGCTGGCCTCCTCCCTCCTCCTCAGCTGTCCTGGACACTGACAGAAAACCCCGTCAGACTGATGGACAAATGAAAGACGAATAGATAGATGGACAGTCAGCCACATGTCTGGATGGCTAGACGAACCGCTGAACAGACCGAGGAATAAATGGCGGATTGAGGAATCCAGACACGGAACAGAGAGACACCAGACAAGCACCAGACAAACGGACAGGCACCTCCTTCCGCTTGAACTCCACCACGGCGCTGGCGGTGTCGACGCCCCCGAGGAAGCTGGGCGCAGAGTCATCTTCGTCGTACACGGTCACGGGGAAGGGCACCATCACCTCCTCCTCACGCGTGCCGACACGCACCGTGCACGTAGCCACCAGCTCATACTTCTCCCGCTTCTCGCGGTCCAGGGCCCAGCGCGTGCTCACCTCCAGGCTGTCCACAGTGCAGCGGAAGGGCAGACTCTCACCTGCGCACCAAGCAGACCAGGAACCCTGGGCTGACCCCCGGGCTGGGGAAAGGGTGAGCTGCCTTCCTCAGGGGCCCACCGGGAGTGGCGGCACGGGAGGGGGCCCTGTGGATGGAGCTGGGGTGCATGCTGGCCCCGGGCCCTGGCTCCTCCTCGGCTCCACAGTGGGGCACGGCGCTCCAAGCACAGTTTGCAGTGAAGACTGTGCTCTGAGTTTCACTGTGGCTGCAGCCTGCACTGGTGCTAATGGGAAACAGAGGGACCGGGACCAGGATGCCTGCATCAGGACCTCAGCCTGATCACCTAGGAGGGCTGGGCACACCCCTTCACACACCTTGCCTCTGCTGTGGGGAGGGCTGGCACCAGCTCAGCCCAGAGATTCAGCTCCCAGCATTTGCTGGTTTCTGAAAAAAAAAGATTTAGGATTTTTTTTTTTTTTTTTAAATTATGGAAGTGATATGTGCCTGTTTTAGAGAATGTGAGAAATAAAGCTCTTCCACCACTTGGAAACAAACATGGTGGACATCTGGTGTGATTTTATATTAACACACAAGTATTTCTGACTGCCTGGTTTGAATCCCTGTCCTATACACCTTCTGGCTGTGTGGCCCAAGGCTGGTGGTTCTGTCTCTCTGTGCCTCAGTTTCCTCACCAGAAGAGGAGATGATGAAGACAAAAGTGTCTGTTCCCTGCCAGACACTGCTGTACGTTCAGTGACTCACGTGTCTTCCCACAACCCGGTGAGGGAGGACCGGTAACAACAATACACTCTTCAAGCCAAGCCTGTCCTGGAATTCATCCTCCAGAAATGACCCAGAAAAGGGGAAAGGCTGAAGGCTTGAAGGGCAACACTGACCACCCCACAGCCAAGCACGGGAGGGCTGTCAACTCCACTCAGTGGGAAATCACATCAGAGCCACACATTACATGTGAATTACACATGTGGGAAATGCTTATCATGCAAACATGTCCCTCTATTGTTCACGGTTACAAAAAACCCTTTTCTGCGAAAAAGGCAGCTCGCTAAATCATACACTTGGCCGGCAATTCTGCACAAAGACATCTATCCCTGCTGCAGGATAAATGAAAAGATGCTGGGACAATGTGAGTGACTACTTTCCTTACGCTACTGAGATTTTCTTCAACATTATTACCGTGTGTATGCCATCAACCTGGTGTGAATCCAGGTTCTACTTACTAGTAAGTCCAGCTTGTAAGTGTCCCTTTTGAGTCCCAGTTCCTCGCCTTTAAATGGTTTAATGGCACCTCAGCTGCCTTCTCTCATCTCCACCGGGATCCAATTCCCTTCCCCTCCCCACATCCGTGCTCTTGGCCTCCCCAGGGCCATCTTGTGGCAGGACCATCTTGTGGCAAGGTCCACTGTCCTTGCGGCTGCTCAGGCAGAATCCTGGAACCATGCTTGGTCCCTTCTTTCTTTCGACACCCCACGTCCAACTCACCAGGATATCCTGCAGGATCCTTCTTCCAAACAAGCCCACAACTCGCCTGCTTCTTGTTGCCCAAAGGTTTCCACCCTCACCCCAGACCTCATCCTCTCACTCAAGGATTTCTCCTGCCTCCTAATTTGTTTCTCTGCTTGCCCCTAAACCACCCACCCCCAATCATTTCTAGCACAGCAGCTAGACTAAGCTCTTAACGGTAAGCTATGTCCTGTCAATGACGCCCCCTCCCAAACACCTTCCATGGCTCCCCAGTCCCTCGGCAGGAAGCCCTGCCCCCCACTTGGAACTGCTCTGCCTCAGCAGCCTCTGCCCTGCCCTGCGGTTCCCTGCACTCCAGCTACATGGGGCTCCCACCTTGGTGCTCTTGAAGGGGTTCGCCCCGCTTGCCCCGCACCCCTCCCCTTTGCTCCAGTGTCCCCTTTTCCCAGCCATCTGATTTGAGGCAGTGGTCTTCACCACTCCACACCCTCTCAGCTTTACGTCCCACCTAGTCCCTTCAGAGGCCACCCGATTTCCTTAGCACGTGTGTGTGGCCTCCATCTCCCACGGGATGGAAGCTCCAGGCAGGTGGGATTTTGGCCTGATGCGTTCGCTCTCTCATCCTTGGTCCCCAGAACAGTGCCTGGCCCATGGCAGGCTTACATGAGATACTTGTGGACTTCTGAATGAACGGATGATGGGGTGGTGCAGAGCAAACTCGACGGCTTGTGCAGAGGGACCGCAGCGCCATGCCTAGCACCCAGCAGGCACCGAGGAAGGCTCCACGTGGCGGGCACTCACCTCCCAGAAGCCTGTAGGCTGCGCTGACGTTGGGGCAGAGGAACTGCACAGGCAGCAGGTGGAATTGGTGGAAGGTGCCGGGAGGCCTGTTCTCCCGAATGCGGAAGGACAGGCCCATCTCAGGGAAGCAGAGGTCCCGGGGTTTGAGGGCACCGCAAGCCGGGAAGGAGGCGTTGATGATGGAGAAGTACACTCGGGCACAGCCCGGCCACTGGCACTCGCCCTCACGAAGGGACGCGGGCGACAGGAAGACCTGGAGGTAGACGGTGAGCAGCGGGAAGCCACCGTCTGCAGAGAGAGAAGTCGTCAGGCCCGCCGGGGTGTCAGTCACACCTGCCCAGCGGTGGGGAACGGAACAGGGAGGGGAGGGGGCAGGAGCTCGGGGCTGGGGCAAAGCCCAGTCCTCACCGGGGTCCACAGGGCTCCTCTGGGCTCTCTGGCCCGGCCGCCACCTCCTCAGGGTGCCTCACCGGCCCACCTCCCTTGTTTTTTAGGTCTCAGCTCAAATACCCTTCCTCAGGGAGGTGCCCTGAGCCCCGGGTCTAACACCAAGTGGAGAGCTTCCCCAGGGAGGGCTCTTGCCCCGCCCCTTTCCCCAAGGCAGTTCTTTTTTTTTTTTTTAGAAACACTTTCATTTATTCTATTCTATTTTCCTATCTTTGGCTACGCCGCTTGTGGGATCTTAGTTCCCCGACCAGGGATTGGACCCGGGCCCTCGGGAGTGAAAGCACAGAGAGCCCTAAGCACTGGACTGCCAGGGAATCCACGTCCCCACCCCCGCCCCCCAGGCAGTTTCACTGTCTTCGGAGACACAGACTTCCCCAGCACCCGGGAGGGGATTTCTGGCAAGTTCCAGCATGGAGGCACCACAGCAGCTCCCCCTCCAACTGGTCTGGATCTCAGCTCGGGTCGGGGGCTCTTCCAGGGCCCTCTATCTCAGCCCTGGGGAAGCGGCTGCCCCTCACATCTGCTCCTCCCGTATTCATTCGTTCTCTGTGCTTCTTACTAGCCTGTCCTCCATTGCTCCAATCTCCTGCTGTGGTTAAAAATTCTCTATACAAACTTTCCCTGTTCAAATTACTGATTTCTCCCCTGACTGGACCCGACAGGTACCCGAGGTCACTCTCCAGTCACGAACAGAACAGGCCTCCTACGAAACTCAGACCCTCAGCAGGTTCCACTCTGGCCTCCACCCCAGTGGCCCTGGTGCTTCAAGTTCCCCACTGGGGGCTCGAGATGCAGACGGCGGCAACTAAGTGTGTGCGGAACCAAGACCTACGTCAGGTGCTACCTCCTCCAGGAGCCGCCTGGGGTGCCCTGACGGGGGACATCTCTACTTGCGGACCCTGGCTTCACTTGGCAGATGGTGTGGTCATTCTGCCCCTGCCAGGCGGTGCCGCCCACTCCGTGTTCCCAGGCATGCCGGCTGTCTCAGCACACACGGGGGCTCAGGGCTGGCGTGAGGGTCCAGGGAGGCCATGTCTACGGTGGAGGGGCTCAGAGGGGGGCACTATTGGGTGTGTGATCACCATTTAGTGCCACGAGGCACAACTCTGCTCCACGACCCCTGCTCCCCTCAAGTCCCAGGGTCCCACGTGGCCTACGCTCCAGCTGGGACCTCTGCTCTGAGGAGTTGGCCAGGCCTCCCTCCCTGCTTCACTTCCATCTCTGGCTCCAGGCCCAAGTCCCTGGCAAGTGGCGCAGTGGTTAAGACTCTGTGCTCCCAAAGCAGGGGGCCCGGGTTTGCTCCCCGGTCAGGGAACTAGATACCACATGCATGCTGCAACTAAGAGTTCGCATCCCACAACTAAGGAGCCCGCCTGCTACAACTAAGGAGCCGGTGAGCTGCAACTAAGGAGAACTGCGAGCCACACCTTCCGTGGGAACTGCTGCTTCTCCAGCAAGTTGCAGACCACTTGCTAAAGCAAGATCTTGGGATTTTTCTCCTCTGAACTCCTCTCTCACAACCCCAAATCCTTGTTAACCCAACTGGAAAAGGCATCTGGATCCTGCATGGACAGAGCACCCAAATCCTTCACGTGGGTTCTCCAAAATCCAAACAGCCTCAGAAAGCCTAAGGGTCATCAGTGGTCCCCAGCTCACCCTGGCTCTCTCCCTGGCTGCGCACAGAGGCAGGCCAGCCTCATCTCACTCTCTCCGCTCTCACACAGCAGGAGCCATAGGGGAAGCCACCCTCGGTGTGATGTGTGCTGTGTGGGGCTAAGGCGAGGGCGGGGGTGGGGGCGGTGTGGTGCGTAGGGGTCAGGGCTGCTCCCTTACTGCGGATGCTGAGCTTCTCCCAGGAGCTGTGGTCCAGGCTCCGGTTAAGGTAGAGAAGCCCCGTGTCCTCCTGGATACGGACCCAGTCGTTCTCGTGCAGCCGTGTGCGGTAGGCGCCGTAGAGGTGCTGGCCCAGGCGGAAGCTGGGCACCTCCTCGGGGACGTCCTGCAGGGCGTGGACGTAGAGCAGGGGCATGCCGGCCGGCTGGTCCACGTACAGCCTCTCCCAGTAAGCATCCCTTGAGAAGTAGAGTCCCAGTGGGGCTGCAGGAAGCAGGGAAGCACATGAGGGAGGGAGGGAGGGAGGGAGGGGTGATGACAGTGATGACAGAGCCCAGAGCAGGCCTCCTAGGCGGACCAGTATTCCCCAGCGGCTTTATTTCACAGTATTTTAAATTGGAGTATAGTTGCTTTACAATGTTGCATTAGTTGCTGCTGTACAGCAAAGTGAATCAGCTATATGTATACATATATCCCCTCCTGTTTGAATTTCCTTCCCATTTAGGTCACCACATAGCACTGAGTAGAGTTCCCTGAGCTATAGAATAGGTTCTCATTACTTACCTATTTTATACATAGTATGCAAAGTGTATATATGTCAATCCCAATCTCCCAATTCATCCCATCATCCCCCACTTTACATTTTAATAGTAGATTCTTTGTGGACCAGAAAAGAAAACTTCACTAATTTAAAATTCTGATCTTAGTAGGTCTTTCTCATCTGCAGTCCTAAGTACATCAACACACAATTATCTATGTAGCTAAACACTAGCTGAGGGACCTCCCTGGTGGTGCAGTGGTTAAGACTCTGTGCTCCCAAAGCAGGGGGCCCGGGTTTGCTCCCTGGTCAGGGAACATGCATGCTGCAACTAAGAGTTCGCATCCCACAACTAAGGAGCCCACCTGCTGCAACTAAGAAGCTGGTGAGCCGCAACTAAGGAGAACTGCGAGCCACAAATAAGGAGCCTGGAAGCTGCAACTAAGACCCAGCGCAACTAAATAACTAACGAACTAACTAACTAAATAAATATTAAATAAAAAACACTAGCTGAAAGGACACCGCTTTAAAACAGAAAAAGGAGGAAGTGAGGCAGCTTAAAACCGTTGCAAAATCGCTCTCAATTACCCAAGTTTGATAAGCAGGTGAACCACTCAGCGGGGAGTTCACCCAGGCTTCTGAACAAATCACCTGGAGCCAGAGTTTTCAAGGGTACAAGATGCTGCCAGACAAGCAGGGCAGGCAGGAGTCACCAAAGACGAACAGAGCACTAATAAATCTTTAGCTAAAGTCAATCACTCTCCTACCATATGACCCAGAAATTCCACTCCATTTATCCAAGAGAAATGAAAACATAGTCCATCAAATGACTTATTCACAAATGCTGGAGTTATTCACAGAGCCAAGAACTGGAAAGAGTCCAGATGTGCTCCAGCGGGTGAAGAGATAAGCAAACGGTGGTCCATCAGGGCCACTGATACACATGACAGCCTGGACGGATCTCACAGACATCCTGCCAAGTAGAAGGGGCAGCATGAAAGAATCACACGTCATGGCTCCAGACTGATTTTAAGCGACAGAAATCAGACCGGCTACCTGCTGGTGGCGGGGGGGAGGCACCAGACCAGGAAGGGCAGGAGGCATGTTCTGGGGAACATAAAGGCTTTGTATCCCGATACGGGCGTGGCTCACACAGGCACATCCACTGGTTAACAGTGTACAGCCAAGATTTATGCTTCAACCTATGTAGATTCTGCCGAAATTGATCGCCAAGGGACTGGGGGTAGAGCTGTAAATGCCACAAGGAAGGCGGATGCTGACCGTGGCTGCGCTGGGTGAGCCCACGGGAGCCCTCATCCTACTAACTCTGTTGACTTTGTGTATGTTCAGCATTTTTCATCACAAGAAGTTTTATAAAATAGTAAGAATTTTTTAAAAGGTGGATAAATGGGCAAGCAATGGTTAAAAAACCTGCAAGTGCTTAAAAACCTACTCTACGAAGCACAAAAAAGTACCAACGCACAAAGCAAACATGAGAAACACTGTACTTTTGTGTAACCGGTTTCTCCTTTCCATCGGTTTGTTTCCACCTACATCCCGCTTCCCTTGCAGCCATGGGGGTTGAGTGGCCGGTCCACTCCGCACAAGCAGAGGAACCCTGGGTCTGCCTGGGCCCTTGAGGACTCCCTTGGGTGTGGGAAACAACCAAGTGCCAGGTGAAGTCGGGTGAAGAGAACAGGCGAGACCTTTTGCATCCCAAAGTGGTAAAACAGTAAGAAAACTAGAAGGCTGCTTGCACTGAGGGAGGTTTCCCAAGGATGACCTCGAAGGCAGCCAGGCTGGGAATGCCAACTTGGAGGGAAGTGTGCATTCGGTCCTGCCAGCCCAGTGCCCAGTGTGGGTGCTGCCCTGCCAGACAGGCCTGGACCACAGAGCAAGGGTGAGAGGGTGAGAGCAGGAGAGAAACAGAGGGAGAGAGAGGGAAGGAGTGGAAAGAGAAAGGGGATCAGGTGAAAGGGGGAGAGGAAGGGGGGGAAAGAGCGATGCTCTGGCTAGAGCCAAAGGCCTGGCCCTGCACACCCCACACTAAAGACAGAGGTGGAGGGAAGGGGGCTGCCCGCCTGGTGCTGACCTACTAGACCTTCAGGAATCTGCTCCCTAGGAGTGCTGTCCCTGGAGTGGGACCCAGGGTTCCTGGGCCTCTGCAGGTGCGGTACAGGGAAGGGCAGGCTAGGACCTCCAGGAGCCAGCCCCGTGCCCTGAGAGAGGCTCTGTGCCGTGGCCTTCCTGCCCTGCAGCCTCCTGGGGGAGGATCCAGCCCAGAGCATCACGCTGCCTGCCATCCAAGGCGGAGGCCGCTCGAGGAGCCGCAGAAAGAAGTCATGCTGGGGAACTCTGGGGAGGGAGAGCTGAGACACTGCTTCCCCCACCCTGGGGTCTCGTGGGCAGAGACCACCGGCAGGAGCTGCCCACACGTGGCTGAACGCCACCCTCCTGTCCCCACACCCTCCCTACTGGCCCAAGAAGACACAGGCTGCCCCGCAGATGCACTCAGGGCTGACTTCTTTGGGATTTAGTAGCTGATGCCCACAGACAGGCAGGCAGCTCAGAGGGCTGTGTCAGCCCCAAACGGCCACAGGACTGGACTCTTCCCTGCTCCTGTTAAAGGGCAGCCAGTGGCACCGCCTCGGAGCAGACCTTGTGCAAGCTGGGCCGAGTGATGGGCCACGGCTGACAGGTCCTCCCACACAGCTAGGATTCACTCCACAGGCTCGAGCTTCCCAGGAGAAGCTCACAGTTTGGGGTTCCAAAGAGGATCCTACAACACTGCTCATCACTGCTTTTTTTTTTCTTTTTTCTTCATTTGAAAATATCTTCTTCCAATTTATGACTTATATATTGATTTTTTTTTTTTTTAACATCTTCATCACTGCTCTTGAGACAAAGGCAGGAGTACTTCCTGTGGTGTCTCCTCACCCAACAGGAGAGGAGAGTCACCCAATGGGAGGGGAGGGACAGCCGCAGAGGGGTCCCTGATGGGGCTCGTCCCCCACTAGGAGCGTGCCGGAGCCCCACCGCGCCGCCTGGCAGAGTAACCCCCAGTCTGTGCTCCTCACAGAAATCAGATGGGCTCCCAGCCTACGGCAGTACTCTGCCCGGCCCGGCCTGGCCGAGTCTGGGAAGGCAGGCTCAGAAGGGGGATGAGAACCAGCCACAGCTCTGCTGCCACAAGACAAGGGCCCGAATCACGAGCAGCAGCCAGGCTTCCTTTCCCTCCAACCAACGGTCCATGAAGGCTGCGAGTCAGAGGCTCTAGCGGGAGCTCTGGGGTGGCGGGTGGCCAGGCAGGGGGAAGGACGCTGCTGCTCACTGCCCCGCGGACAGAAGAAGGGTGGGTCTCCCTTCCCTCTACCGCCGCCTTCTCCAGAGGACCTGGCCCGCCGCCTCACAGCGGTGTGGTGTGCAGTGAGCGCAGCCGGCTGGACCGACAGGGTGCAAGGCCAAGCCCCCCCGGCCCTCACACACACACACCGACCCTCCATTTTCTTCGCAATCCCAGACGGGGGTGCCAACGGGACCACTGCTTTGCAAACAGACACTGAGGCGGGAACAAAAGAAAGCTGTCTGCACACTCAAGGGCACACACACAGCCAGCCAGAGAACTGGGATTCGGACGGCAGTCCCTCCAGCAGCACACCCCTCTCCGGCCTGCTCAACCCCACTTCACAGCGGGCCGGGCCCTGCCGCCACCGTGCCCGCTGCCCCGCTGAGCCCTGCGTGGTGACCGCAAGTCAGCAACACCAGCCTGCAAAGAAGGTGGTCCCCAAGGGCTCACCTTCTCTTGGGAAGCTTGCATTCCCGGCAACAAAGAGGTTGAGAGACTGTAATTCCCAGTGGTTGACAGGGTGGTGGTGGCCTGGTGGCAGCCCAGGCTCGTGACACCACACTGGGTGGGAAGGGGCTCAGCCAGGGCCAGGGCCGCCAGCATCCTCCTCATCCTGGCAGACAGGCGCGCACCGACCGCTAGTGATCTGGGATGCTGCCAGCGGGTCCCGTCTCACAGAGCTGCAGGCAACTCTGCTGGTGGGGAGCCCAGGGTGGATGTTGGTCCACAAGACAGCACACCGCCAAGGGCAGCCTGTGTCTGCCAGCCCGCTAGGCCACCAGCTCTCCGTGGTCTGCCAGACCCCTCCATGGAGAGGTGAGGTCTGCGTTCCTGGCCCCCGGAGTACCAGCGAGAGTATGCTGTGTGACGACTGAGCCTGTGTCAGGAGAGGAACACAGCTTCTGCCGGCTCATCCTCTGGGGACACACACACGCACACACCCCGTCCCCGGCCCCGGTCAGCTGTGCAAGAACCAGCTGCCCTTGGAGCCACCAGTGGGGGGACCTTACAGATGGGTCTTCTGTGGCGGGGGGGAGAGGCCTGCCCCGCCTGCCAGGTAGGGAGGAACAGATCCAGAACAGGGCTCCTCCTCCGGGGCCCCCTGGGGTGCATGCACTTTCAATGGTCCGGGGTCTGGGAGGTAGGAGGGGCCCGAGCTCCCGGGAGCCCCTACCTCCAAGCTGGTCCAGTCCCCACCATACAGACCACATGTGCAGGAGAGAATGGGCCTTGCCCGCTCTCATCTCACAGAGCCAAGCCCTACGGGATCCGTGTGGGGCTCAGTCTGTTGCTGCCTAAAGGGATTTGTGGGCTGGGAAATGCTTGTGAGCAGAAACAGACTTAAATGCATGTAACATGCCTCCCAGGTGGTCCCTGCTC